TAGGAGTATTGTTTCTTAACCTTGGCAACTTTGTGGACTTCAGCTCCTAGTATATTGGGTTGGGGAATTATGGAAACTGAAGTCCACACATCTTAAAGCTGCCAAGGACGAGAAACACTGAGGTAAAGCATACATACTTGGTTTCAAAGACAGATTTCATTCCCCACAATGCAGAAAGCGGCTGGCTCCAGGAAGCAGATGTCAGCAATAAAGAACCATCCTGTAGTTTGGGAAGAGAATTCAAAGAAGCAGACACTCTTTATGTTTGTGGACAGATTTTGTGGGGTTTCTTTTAAGAGAAAGGGGAATTCCTAACTATGTCACAATGTACAGAACACTCTAGGCAGAGAATACTCTTGCCAATTTAAGGCAGTATGATCACAATTATACACAGATAAAAACATACTGTTGGCTTGGTCAGACCAGGTGGCTGTTACAAAATCAACTGTCCTGAACAATGATTCATTTCAGGCAGAAGCCAACGGTCTCCGAAGAGCAGAAAATAGAGACTGGCTTTGGAAACTCATTTCTTCCTCAATCTTCTGAATGTTCAGAAAAAAAATTTAAAAACATCTAAGCCCCTTTTTTGTCTTTACTCATACGTTCTAGTGCACAGGTCGGTAACATGCGACTCCGGAGCCGCATGTGGCTCTTTGATCCTTCTCCTGTGGCTCCCGGCCTCCTCTGCCATTTGCAGACAGAGACAGAGACAGAGAGAGGAACTTGCGCTTCCCTGCTTCTCTCTCTCTCTCTCTCTCTCTCTCTGTGTAAAAGAGAGTGGACTCACGGCGTTCTCCGACAAGCTGAAAAGCTTTTTGGGCGGGGCTCCTCCCTTTGCTGCGTCTCTGCAGGAAACAGGAAGCAGGAAGGGCAGGAGAGAGCTAGCTAGCCCAGCTATGCTGACTCAGGAATTCTGGGAGTTGAAGTCCAAGAGTCATAAAAGAGCCAAGGTTGCCTACTCCTGATCTTGTTGGAGAACAGCTTGAAGCCAGCTTGCCAGGTGAGCAGAAGATCGGAGAGAGGGAGAGAAAGAGAGAGAGAAAGAAAGAGAGAGAGTGGGGGAAGAGGACTGGCAGACCAAGGGCAGAAAAAGAGAGGGGGAGGGGGAGGGAGACAGACCAAGGGCAGAAAAAGAAAGGGGGAGGGAGAGAGAGATAGAGACAGAGAGACCCTTTTGATATCTAAAATGAAGATAACACTGCATATATCCTTTTTTACCTTTATTATACACACACACATATTTATACATACATACATACATACATATATACATACATACATACAGAAAGTTTTTCAGACAGACGGGTCTGGTTGATTGCACCTTGGCATTTTGACTGCTATACCGCAGTTCTACTTTTTTTTTTTTTTAAATAATCACTTTTGCCTTGCAGCCCCCCAACTAGGGGCATTAAGCAGGCTCAAGTCACTACTGCGATACATTACAAATTCAGATTTCTTTTTACTGACAAAAAGATTTGTTAGCAAAGGATATATGCAGTGTTATCTTCATTTTAGATATCAAAAGGGTTTTGCGGCTCCCAGTGTTTTGTTTTCGGTGGGAAATGGATCCAAGTGGCTCTTTGAGTGTTTTGGGTTGCCTACCCGTGTTCTAGTGATTAACCTGCTTTTGTTTTTTAAAAAGTCCTCCCTACCTGCCCTAAGCTGTATCGTTTATCACAGTGGTTCTCAACCTTTTTAATGCTGTGACCCCAACTGGTCGTAAGTCGAGGACTAAACCAGTCGTAAGTCGACTAAACCGGTCGTAAGTCGAGGACTAAACCGGTCGTAAGTCGAGGACTTTCCCTGCCCGGGAGTGCCGCGCATGCGTGGTTCCGCCCCCTGTGCCGGCCGAGGGGTAGCTGGCAAGCGGCAGAGACGGAGCAGGCCGACCACCAGCTGGCCCAGCCCAAGGGAGGTAAGGCACCCACCGGAAAAGGGGGAAAAAAATGGCAAACAAAAAAAATGGCGGACAGCCTTGCTTGGCGACCCCCATGAAATGGTCGATCGACCCCAAATGGGGTCCCGACCCACAGGTTGAGAACCACTGGTTTATCATATCATATCATATCATATATTATATTACACTATACTACACTACACTACACTATACAGAACAGAGAGATCTATGATAGCTCATAGGTAGTCCTCAATTTATGACTGGTCGTTTGACAACCGTTCGAAGTTACAACATCCTCAGAAAGGTTGCTTTATGACTATAAAGCATTTCCGGCCGTTATAAAACATCACACTGCTCCTTCCCCGCCGGTCACATGATCATGATCTGGGGGCTTGCCACCTGTTCACACATAAGTTATGGTTGCCATGCACCCCGCAATTATGTGATTGCCATTTCCAATCTTCCCTGCCCGCTTCTCCAGAAATTCAATATGAAAGACATTTTTCAGCAAGCAGGTCCCCAGAGATGAGAAGAAACTCCAAGCAGAGAACCGAGAGGCAACGTAATAAGAGAAGGAGCACTGAGGAGGGTAGGTGGGGGAGGCCCCGAGAAGCCTGGAACTGAAAATCCTGCTTGGAGCCTACCAGGATCTCTCCCTCCCCCACCCCGGGGCACTTTGCGCTTCCTACTTGGATTGGGATTGCTAAACAACCCGTAAAATCACTTAATACCTGAAATCAGTCACGTAACATTTTGCTTAACGATCCCTTCACTTAGCAACCGAGATTTCAGGCTCCATTGTGATCATAAGTCAAGGACTACCTATATATTTTAAACAATTACTAAAAAATTCCAGCTAGGTCAATAAAATAAAATAAAATAAAATCAGGCCGTAACATCCAATCTCTCTTGTGCTATCGACAACCAATCTTGTCATGTTTCCTCCTTCCCAGAGTTTTGCCTAATCTCCCAATCCTTACGAAAGAGAGAATACTGTTATTAAAGCGCACCTGACCTGAATATTCTCAGCCTTCTCCTTACCCTGGATGGCTCAAGGTGTGTGATAGCAGAGTTATGGCACTTGTAGCTGGCCTCCTCCTGCCCGCTAAAGACATTGTAGAGTTTTAGGTGCCCTGTGCAGGTGCCCAACATCAGGAACCGCTCCCGTGCAGAAAATGCACAACACGTAAAGCCACTTTCATCTTCATTTGCTTCTCGGAACACAGAAATTGGACGGAACCTGGGATACGAAAGAGCAACTAAGTAAGAAGATTAATTTTCAGGAAGGGAAAGGGAGATACAGGAGCAATGGCCAAACGCAACTGAAGTTGGGCAGCTGCATCTTAGTCTGCTAGGAGAAAAGACAGGGTTTCAGCTTTCTTCATAAAGGAAGAAGGATCTTGTAAACAGCTCAGAAATGCTACAGAGGTGATATAGCAAAGTCTTCCTTGTGGTCCCAAGGCAATCAGTTTTGTCCAAGCCACGGTATGGCACCCAAATCCACTTTCTAAATGGCATGGCCCAAAAAATCGTAGGAATAAAGAACCATCTTCCTTACCTGCTAAATATAAGGTGTCTATCAAAGCATCCACCATCTACCCCGCCATACTTTGGGAAGGCTGCCCTGCGGGTCAGCCGCGAGGTAAAGTTAGTTGGCGCTTGGCGCCTCTGTTTTGGCTCAGGACACTGGTGGGGAGTAAAAAGAGAAAAGGGGGGGCAAGTAGCTACAGGGTTTTTGCAGCGTGCATGCTGCTCCCTAAGGTACTCTGTGATTATACTGTCCAAGGTGGGAGGGGAAGGAAGGTGTCTGTCCAGCTGTTTTTTGATAGCTGGGCTCTGACAGTAGGCGCCATGGTCTGATTTTTGCCGAAGCACTCGGATTTTTCTGCCATTGCAGGGAGATGGTCTCTCTCGGACAAAGCTAATCCTGCCAATCACTGGGGTGTTGGTGGCATGAGATGGGCCTGGCAGCGCAAGCGGGGCCTGGCAGACAGCTGGCCTTGGCTGAGGGTGAACGGAGGAAGCACCAGAAGCAACAGAAGGATGGTTAGTCAACCGGGCTGCAATGCCATTTGCTATGCGAGGGGTACGAGGCAGAGTTACAGGAGATGAAGTGGCAGGAACCGGGGTGAAGGCAGAGGAATGAGAAGCTGCTGTCATGGGCAGATCTGCCTCCTTTGTAAGGATGGTAGCAGTTTCTCCTAGCCCTTTAGAGATGAGATGGTTCCTGATGAGAAGGAGCAGCTCCTTCTCAGGAAATGAAATCCTTGACTGAGCCACCACATCTGCCTTCTGCAGCCGGGCCAAAGAGACATCAGTCCCAATCAACAAGGGTTTTCCTGAGACGCGCTCTATCAGCTCCGCAGCGTATTTGCAAAACTTGACATGCTCGCTGCGCTTATCCTGCAGCACAGGCTCCTTCATTAACTGCTGGATCTGACAACTGCTGAACAGGGGCAGCTTGCTGATGATCTGCCGGACTGTACTACTCCGTGACAGCCCAACCAGGGCTTTGCAGGCCAAGGCTCGGATCTGGTCTGCATCTGTAATGGGCATTTTGACAGAGAGCAATGATAATAGCACTTTGATGCCATTGTTCGACTGCACCACGTTCCACATCTTGGCCAAAGTATGCTCGCTACTCCTGGGTGTTTGGGGGAGTGCGCGACGAGGAGTGCCAGAGATAAATTTGCCAATGCTGGAGATGCGATTGTCTGGACCACAGACACAGTTAATGATGATCTGAAGGGCAGATTTCTGGATTTCTGCATCATGAATAAAGAATTCCCCCTCGGCAAGCCCCAAGATGATGCTGATACCTGGGGAGAAAAAAAACCCAAGTGAAACATTAGCAAGTAAAATGTATCACATATTAGTGTAAGAGAACGATGGCTCAATTTCTACATTATAGGAGAAATGTATCTTTTGACTCTTGTAATGGTGCACAAATCTGAGTTTATCCAGTGAAAATGCTGAGCAATACACAATGCAGACTAAACCTTACTTTTCTCACCTGAATCCCAACAGACCCCATTGCCACGAAATAAAGAGTTAGTAACAGGGCAGTCAAAAACAGTGTTGAAGGCAGCTTCATTCTAACGGTCCCTTGAACATCTCATTCTTTCAGATAACACTTAACGGTATAGCACTAGGTTCTCTCACAATAATGATTAAGAGTGCACAATTTGAGCAAATAATTAAAAGTGAAAACTCTAAGCTGGTGTGCGTGAGAGAGCCAACAACGAACCTGATGCCTTTGCTTCTAGCTTCCCTTTCAAATCTATCTGTAGACCTTAGTGGGAGGCAGGGGGCAGACTGACAAAAACAGTGTGGTATAATACAAATCCTATTCTTTTTTAATGTGCTTCATGCATGTTGTCACACATGTACAAAAGAAGTGAAGCATGTGGTGCAATACTGTTTGAATCATTTTGACAAAAGCAGCAGCATCTTACAAATGTCTCCCCCCCAGTTCATCTGTTCAGACAGTTGAAACCATCCAATTCAGTTGTTTTTTTTAAAAAAAGAGTTTGTACTAACTGAGCCACACGGCCAAGATGATCCTTTGTTACAGTTCATTTGCTCAGAATTTAAAAGTTTTCATCGTGTATAAGTATTCATAGGAAGCACCCAAAGAGATCAGGTTTCACATACCCACAATAGAAATAGATGTTCCTCCCTCATCCACCGTATCCACTGCCTCAGCTAACTGTAATTGGATTTTTGGAACCACAGTGAGGATGGCCAAAACATCCAATGCATAACGCACCGTGTCGTTTCTGGTAAACAAAAATGAAATACATATAACTCGAAGCCTGATGAAACATATTAAAGGAAAAGCGAGCTGAATAAATTCACAGGATAGCCCTTTTCAAAAGCAAGAAAGTGCATTTGTTTTTATTAATTTTATGGGTAACTCCAGAAGTCTGTGGGGTACAAACAAACTGTATTTAATATTAATAAATATATACTAGCTGTACCCGGCCACGCGTTGCTGTGGCTCAGTCTGGTTAAATGGAAAAGAAAGAAAAGAGAAAGCGCACATTTGTAATAATTTAATAATAATTTAACAATGCAATCAGAAACATTGAAATGGAATCGTAAAATTGGAAATTGTAAATGGATCGTAAATCGGAAACATTGAAATGGAATCGTAAAATTGTAGCGTGTGTTGCTTTTACGTCCAACAAATGGTGTTGTTTTTCAAAAAAAGCATGTTTTTACCTGTCACAGGTGTGACATCTATATAATATAGGTATATAAAAACACGTGTGTATTCGAATGCAACGTTGTGTCAAAATTTCAAAGCAATTGGTGAAGAACTTTTGGAGATTTAAGATTTTGAACAAACGAACATTTACATTTTTATTTATATAGATTAACCATAGAGGCTAGTTGTCCTGGAGCAACTGCCAGCTCCATCCCAATAGCAAATTACAAAGAGTTTCATATCCTGTTGTTCTCTCACCTTGCATAGTAAGTCTTCCAATTGCATGCTATTGAAATAAGTTGAAGCATGAGCTGTACACAACACAGCTTGAGAAACACCTCTGCTGGATCCCAATAGAGCTGACCTGGTCCATATTCTATTAAAAACTCCATCATTTCCACAATCTGTTCGTGAGTATAGGAACAAGCCTGCAAGTAGAAGCAAACATTCTAATCACCTACCTAAAAATATTAAGACAAACACTTTATAAAATAGGTTTTTGTTGTTTTTTTAAAAAACCCAATCTACCTTTTCATTAAGGAAACCCTGCCGATATTCAAAAAACTAAATACAAAAATCTAAAATTTATAAAGGCACAAAATAAAAACAGGAGCATATATTTAAAAATCCAATGACCTAATCCGTTTATTTTAAATTGCAAATCCAAAAGCATTCAACATTAAAAAAAGTCTTTGTTTATTAGATGTAAAGAATGTAGATTTAGTGGTCTTTTGCAAAGAAAAATTCGGAGTAATGGAACCATCAATGGAAATATTCAATCAGATCCTACGGATAATATTCTAAAAGAGGACGAGGATCCTACGCATTAAACTGGAGCCCCACAGCAAGCTGAAAAATGGTACAGTTAAATTGCAGCCCCAGAAAGAATATGCCCTAAATTGGTCTATGACAGGGGTACCCTGCCTACCCCTGGTCTATGAGATGCCAAATACAATCACAGCAAGGACCCTGTATTTCCAGAAGAGTTGTTGTATTAGATGTAGTTGGAACACTTTTTGATATCTATTCTTGTTCTCTTGAAAAGGCAAGACCTAGAAGTTTGTTATTTCCAGCAATGTACTGCCTACCTTATATGGAGGCTGTGGATGGACCAGAATCCCACCTTCTGTGCGTTGAAGTGACTGCTTCACTTGCTCTACTTTGATGGCAAGATGTGCCTCAAAATACCTGCGCATGGCCATGCAAGTATGTTTTCCAGTCTGACGGCTAGCAAAGATCTCATCGTCACTTAGCAGTGCACCTTGGGTTTGCAAATTTAAGATATCAAGAGTGCTAATCTAAAATGAGGGGGGAAAAAAGGCTTACTGCAGTTTTATTTCTAAGATCTAAAGACTCATTATTTTAATTGCTTAGCAAGTTCATTTAGTCACACACACACACACACACATCCCTCCTGCTTCTTAGCTTGCTGGCTGTTTTCTTTAAATTTTCATACAACCAACCTGACAAAAAAAAATCCTTCTAAAACCACAAGGTGCTCATTTGCAGGTACGGACTCAACATTCACTGTACAAGGTTTTACACAAAGTATCTGAATGGAATATGTGTAAGTTGTTTTTGGACAGAAAGACACATTTGCCTTTTAGAACAGGGTTGGTTAAATTGAGATTTCAGCATGTTGCTTATTCTTGTTTGGTGGCAACTTTTGAAGGAGTTCTTAGAGCAGTGATGGCGAACCTTTTAGAGACTGAGTGCCCAAACTGCAACCCAAAACCCACTTATGTATCGTCGGGTGATGGATGGGCGTGGCCCATTGGGTGGGTGTGGCCCATTGGGTGGGCATGGCTTCAGTGGTAACGGCAGACTGGGCGGGACTAAAAAGTTCAATCAATCAATTCCAACTTTGCGAGATCTTTTTTTCCCGTGAGAAGTTGAAATTGACTGATTGAACCTTTTTTTTTTTTTGCACACGGCAGCGGAGGCCTAAAGCAAAAAGGTTTTATAAAACCCAGCTGAAGGCCTAGGACTGGGGCGATGGTGCGCGTGCCCACAGAGAGGGCTCTGCGTGCCACCTGTGGCACCTGTGCCATAGGTTCGCCACCACGGTCTTAGAGCCTCAATCAAGACTCTCAGAAACTACACATAATCTTAAGTTTCTGTTTAACACAAAGCACAGCCAAGCTGAAAGGCTGTAGTCCCATAATGACACTCAACTTCACCACCCAAAAAAGAAAGGCAGCAGTTCTAATGAAGTACTTAAAAGAAAAGCAAAATACAACTTTTTAAAGACTTACCAAGTTAACCAGGCGCCGTAAGCCATCATGCCTGTCAAAGAGCTCTAAAACTGCACGGAATGAGAAACAAATGGAAAAGAACATGGTGGCATGGCAGCAGCCTGATGCGTGAGAGCATTCCATCAACCACAAGGTGTAGTTCACAACATCCGATAATACGTGGGGATGCATGCATACCTACAGAACAAAACAAACAACAACAAACCACTGCGATAGTTTGTATTTTTAGTAATGGGAACAATATGTAGATAAATCCTTCAGCAACTGCTGTGATGAAAGGGAAAGCATTCGTTGTTCAATTTTAATTACAAAGATGGCATACAGCTTAAAATATTTTGCAGTTCTTGAATTGAACAAAAGTCCTTGAAAAAAAATGAACACTCAAGATATAAATGCAGAATGCATCCACATTCCAATAAAAACATACTACAAAAAATAAATAAGTGGTTAACGTGAATACGGGGTATGTATGCTTGGAATATAAGTAAGTAGTTGAAATCGACAATCAAAACCAAAACAACACACCACAGAATTCTGATTAAAAATATTAAAAGTTGTGCAATTCTTTCTGTAGAACTAGTGGCTATATCTTGCTGAAATAGAGTTGAATAAAATCCATGTGTTATTACATGAATAAGTCTGTGCCTTAACTATTGTTGTCTTCAGGTAGTGTGAACAGAGACTTTGGCACATTCATTGTCAAGCCAAATTAAGAAATGCATAATGTGTCTCCCCTACTGAAATTATCCGGACAGTGTCTGCAAGCAATAGAACTCCCTTTTCAATAAAGATATATATTTTATTGATGATCTGTTCTCAACTTCAGCAACTTACTAGTAACCATTACCCTGTTACAAGCTCTCACAGAAATGTAGTCAACATATTTATGCTGGAATTCCCAAAAGGTGAGGATAGCTGGAATATTCTAGACCCCGCTTGGAATATGCAAACCCTTTTCAAAGCGTACAGCCGCTGGTGGCAGGATGTGCTCTTACCCTTTCCATGGCATCCTGATTGTAAGACAAATAGTATAAACACATGGAGACACCTGTGGCTGCCATAGAAGGGCGAGGAATCTCCAGCAGCTTCTGTACTCCTCCGTGCGCAACAAACTCCGTTGCAAACTTGTTGTGGAGCAGCAGAGATGCCAAATACTGCAGACGAATGCATAAAATCACTGTCAATTATAAGGCAAGTGGGCTAATGATAATCAACCTAGCAAAGCTTTGCACTGCAAATTAATAATTCTTTCTTGTGTCCTGTGAAAAATTGAGAAGAACGAGATTTCCCTCCATTGCTCTTTAAGAAAAACTGTAATTTAAATAAGAAAAGGTTCCAATTCAAATGCTTTTCTAAGTTTAAATAGGCAATGTTCTGCCTCCAAACACTATATAACATTACATAATTGTCCATATTTAAATATACAAATTTATTTGGAGTATCAATATATGTCAATCTTCTGGTAACTACCAGAATTAAAAATGCTTCTTCCAAACACAAATCTCACAAAATCTCTTCAGCAAGATGGACTGAACTGGAATCAGTAGTAACACAAGAATCCCAGCAAGTGCTTTCAGTTTAGGATCAGTATCTATGTGCATGAATATGTTTTTTCTTCAGAATCTTGCATCTGTAATAACTCTCTCGTTGTGAGCTGTAATACAGGAAGTCCTCGACTTAAAACAGTTTGTTTAATGACTGTTCAAAATTATAACTGAAAAAAGTGACTTATGACCATTTTTCACAGTTACATTTGCAGCATCCCCATGCTCATGTGATCAAAATTCAGACGTTTGGCCACTGGTTCATACTTATGACCACTGCTGTGTCCCAAGGTCACCTTTTGTGACCTTTGGACAAGCAAAGTCAATGGGGAAGTCAGATTCACTTAACAACCGGGTTACTCACTTATCAACTGCAGTGATTCACTTAACAACTGGGGCAAGAAAGGTTGTAAAATGGGGCAAAACTCACTTAACAAATATCTCGCTTAACAACAGAAATTTTGGGCTCAATTGTGATCGTAAGCTGAGGACTGCCTGTATTTTGAATAGAAGACTCACGATCGGTTGCAGATCAGGGACGTTCGGTTAACGCTTTCTTTTTAAATTAATTTGCAAGCTGCTTTCTTAGCGATATTCTATGAGATGGATTTATACTAAGGGGAAAAGAAAAGCCAAATCTTCTGGATACCCTGTAACTATACTGCACAGCAAGGAAGTAGCAATCTTTAGGCGAAATGCAGTATAGAGTGTGAAAAAGAACATTTCTCCCTCACCACACCAGGATTACGGGGCAGATCCCAAGTAAGATATTCCCTAGAAGACAGGTCCTGCCACCCTCAAGCCATACCACAAGGCAGGAGCAGGTGAGAGAATCAAGGTGAGAGTGGAGGTTTGGAACATCCAGCTTTTCACTCTGATCAATATTTCAACATTGATAACATACGTAAGAACTCTGTAAGCCTTGATATCACTAAAACACCTTTTTGTCTTTAATCTGGAGCACTGTACAGACCTTAAAATATATATCTTGTAAAGAGCAGAAACAAGGGGTAAATATTTCAAAGCCTTAAAGGAAAAAAAGTAAGTATTCAGAGCTGATGCTCCTTTTGTACCAGTTGTGTTTTCTTTATCTTCTTTTTTTTTTTTTTTNCAAGTATGTTTTCCAGTCTGACGGCTAGCAAAGATCTCATCGTCACTTAGCAGTGCACCTTGGGTTTGCAAATTTAAGATATCAAGAGTGCTAATCTAAAATGAGGGGGGAAAAAAGGCTTACTGCAGTTTTATTTCTAAGATCTAAAGACTCATTATTTTAATTGCTTAGCAAGTTCATTTAGTCACACACACACACATCCCTCCTGCTTCTTAGCTTGCTGGCTGTTTTCTTTAAATTTTCATACAACCAACCTGACAAAAAAAAATCCTTCTAAAACCACAAGGTGCTCATTTGCAGGTACGGACTCAACATTCACTGTACAAGGTTTTACACAAAGTATCTGAATGGAATATGTGTAAGTTGTTTTTGGACAGAAAGACACATTTGCCTTTTAGAACAGGGTTGGTTAAATTGAGATTTCAGCATGTTGCTTATTCTTGTTTGGTGGCAACTTTTGAAGGAGCTCCTAGAGCAGTGATGGCGAACCTTTTAGAGACTGAGTGCCCAAACTGCAACCCAAAACCCACTTATGTATCGTCGGGTGATGGGTGGGCGTGGCCCATTGGGTGGGTGTGGCCCATTGGGTGGGCATGGCTTCAGTGGTAACTTTGCGAGATCTTTTTTTCCCGTGAGAAGTTGAAATTGACTGATTGAACCTTTTTTTTTTTTGCACACGGCAGCGGAGGCCTAAAGCAAAAAGGTTTTATAAAACCCAGCTGAAGGCCTAGGACTGGGGCGATGGTGCGCGTGCCCACAGAGAGGGCTCTGCGTGCCACCTGTGGCACCTGTGCCATAGGTTCGCCACCACGGTCTTAGAGCCTCAATCAAGACTCTCAGAAACTACACATAATCTTAAGTTTCTGTTTAACACAAAGCACAGCCAAGCTGAAAGGCTATAGTCCCATAATGACACTCAACTTCACCACCCAAAAAAGAAAGGCAGCAGTTCTAATGAAGTACTTAAAAGAAAAGCAAAATACAACTTTTTAAAGACTTACCAAGTTAACCAGACGCCGTAAGCCATCATGCCTGTCAAAGAGCTCTAAAACTGCACGGAATGAGAAACAAATGGAAAAGAACATGGTGGCATGGCAGCAGCCTGATGCGTGAGAGCATTCCATCAACCACAAGGTGTAGTTCACAACATCCGATAATACGTGGGGATGCATGCATACCTACAGAACAAAACAAACAAACAAACAAACCACTGCGATAGTTTGTATTTTTAGTAATGGGAACAATATGTAGACAAATCCTTCAGCAACTGCTGTGATGAAAGGGAAAGCATTCGTTGTTCAATTTTAATTACAAAGATGACATACAGCTTAAAATATTTTGCAGTTCTTGAATTGAACAAAAGTCCTTGAAAAAAAATGAACACTCAAGATATAAATGCAGAATGCATCCACATTCCAATAAAAACATACTACAAAAAATAAATAAGTGGTTAACGTGAATACAGGGTATGTATGCTTGGAATATAAGTAAGTAGTTGAAACCGACAATCAAAACCAAAACAACACACCACAGAACTCTGATTAAAAAATATTAAAAGTTGTGCAATTCTTTCTGTAGAACTAGTGGATATATCTTGCTGAAATAAGAGTTTGAATAAAATCCATGTGTTATTACATGAATAAGTCTGTGCCTTAACTATTGTTGTCTTCAGGTAGTGTGAACAGAGACTCTGGCACATTCATTGTCAAGCCAAATTAAGAAATGTATAATGTGTCTTCCCTGCTGAAATTATCTGGACAGTGTCTGCAAGCAATAGAACTCCCTTTTCAATAAAGATATATATTTTATTGATGATCTGTTCTCAACTTCAGCAACTTACTAGTAACCATTACCCTGTTATAAGCTCTCACAGAAATGTAGTCAAAATATTTATGCTGGAATTCCCAAAAGGTGAGGATAGCTGGAATATTCTAGACCCCGCTTGGAATATGCAAACCCTTTTCAAAGCGTACAGCTGCTGGTGGCAGGATGTGCTCTTACCCTTTCCATGGCATCCTGATTGTAAGACAAATAGTATAAACACATGGAGACACCTGTGGCTGCCATAGAAGGGCGAGGAATCTCCAGCAGCTTCTGTACTCCTCCGTGCGCAACAAACTCCGTTGCAAACTTGTTGTGGAGCAGCAGAGATGCCAAATACTGCAGACGAATGCATAAAATCACTGTCAGTTATAAGGCAAGTGGGCTAATGATAATCAACCTAGCAAAGCTTTGCACTGCAAATTAATAATTCTTTCTTGTGTCCCGTGAAAAATTGAGAAGAACGAGATTTCCCTCCATTGCTCTTTAAGAAAAACTGTAATTTAAATAAGAAAAGGTTCCAATTCAAATGCTTTTCTAAGTTTAAATAGGCAATGTTCTGCCTCCAAACACTATATAACATTACATAATTGTCCATATTTAAATATACAAATTTATTTGGAGTATCAATGTATGTCAATCTTCTGGTAACTACCAGAATTAAAAATGCTTCTTCCAAACACAAATCTCACAAAATCTCTTCAGCAAGATGGACTGAACTGGAATCAATAGTAACACAAGAATCCCAGCAAGTGCTTTCAGTTTAGGATCAGTATCTATGTGCATGAATATGTTTTTTTCTTCAGAATCTTGCATCTGTAATAACTCTCTCGTTGTGAGCTGTAATACAGGAAGTCCTCAACTTAAAACAGTTTGTTTAATGACTGTTCAAAATTATAACTGAAAAAAGTGACTTATGACCATTTTTCACAGTTACATTTGCAGCATCCCCATGCTCATGTGATCAAAATTCAGACGCTTGGCCACTGGTTCATACTTATGACCACTGCTGTGTCCCAAGGTCACCTTTTGTGACCTTTGGACAAGCAAAGTCAATGGGGAAGTCAGATTCACTTAACAACCGGGTTACTCACTTATCAGCTGCAATGATTCACTTAACAACTGGGGCAAGAAAGGTTGTAAAATGGGGCAAAACTCACTTAACAAATATCTCACTTAACAACAGAAATTTTGGGCTCAATTGTGATCGTAAGTTGAGGACTGCCTGTATTTTGAATAGAAGACTCACGATCGGTTGCAGATCAGGGACATTCGGCTAACGCTTTCTTTTTAAATTAATTTGCAAGCTGCTTTCTTAGCGATATTCTATGAGATGGATTTATACTAAGGGGAAAAGAAAAGCCAAATCTTCTGGATACCCTGAAACTATACTGCACAGCAAGGAAGTAGCAATCTTTAGGCGAAATGCAGTATAGAGTGTGAAAAAGAACATTTCTCCCTCACCACACCAGGATTACGGGGCAGATCCCAAGTAAGATATTCCCTAGAAGACAGGTCCTGCCACCCTCAAGCCATACCACAAGGCAGGAGCAGGTGAGAGAATCAAGGTGAGAGTGGATGTTTGGAACATCCAGCTTTTCACTCTGATCAATATTTCAACATTGATAACATACGTAAGAACTCTGTAAGCCTTGACATCACTAAAACACCTTTTTGTCTTTAATCTGGAGCACTGTACAGACCTTAAAATATATATCTTGTAAAGAGCAGAAACAAGGGGTAAATATTTCAAAGCCTTAAAGAAAAAAAGTAAGTATTCAGAGCTGATGCTCCTTCTGTACCAGTTGTGTTTTCTTTATCTTCTTTTTTTTTTTACCCCCCTCTCCAAAACCCTCCCCCCCCACTTCCCAGAGCTAATCACAGGGTTAACAATAAGATAATCATATTCTAACTAACATTAATCAATTATTAGAATAACAAGTCTGTAAAATCCTTTAACTCCCTTTTTAAAATAAAATATACTAAGATTAGACACAATAATAATAATATCATATTAATAATTAAAAATAAAGATAAATAAACTGTATAACTATATAACAACAATAATACTCTAAAATTCACTCAAAAACCAAATGGAACTTTTTGGTCCCATATTTCTTCTCAATATAATCTATCCATCTTCTCCAAACTGAAATATATCTTTCTTGTGAATAGTCCTTCACATAAGCAGAAATCTTGGCCATTTCTGCTAAATTTGAGACTTTAAGTGACCATTCTTCTATAGTGGGCAGACGTTCCGTTTTCCAATACTGAGCTACTAGTAGTCTTGCAGCTACAAGTCCAACTTCTTCCAGACTGGCACCTTTCAGATTGGCTGAACCTCAGTACCCATCATCTTCCATCCACTCAGCAATGGGAAAACTTAGTTAGAATAAGAAGCCAACTGGATTACAGATACTGAGCCACAATGCCTCCTCTGTGAACAAACAGTTGGTAGTGCTATCACTTACCTTAAGGGCTTCAAAAGTAAGCAGCACGTCATTGGTCCGTTTCAAGTCAATATAGAACATCATCAACTCTCTTGATCCAAGTTGCATGAAGATAGGCAGCAACTGTTGGGGAAATGTACAAAATAGTTTAAAATGGACGTCTTAAATATTTTCTTTCTCCTAAATTTAGAAGCAGCCAGAGACAAAGTATGGCTGACCAAGATTTCTGCTGCACAATCTTGAGAATGAGGCTTACTACGCAGCTAACCGTTTCCTCTCATATATTTTTAGATTAAAATATGTAGCGAGGGGGAGAAAAAAGCAAGAATGTTGTTCTGTTAGATTACTTCGGTATTTCTTTTCAACACATGCTTTATTTATAATATGATCCATTTTTCTTTATAATTAAGGGGTCTGTATAATGTGGGTATTTTTCTTTATAGTTAAGGGGTGTTTATAATATGATCTACACATTAACATCCTGTCCTAAGGCAAGCACATAACAAAGCACAGTTAATTGGAAGAACAGCTCCAAAGGTTATCTTTGCTCTTTGCAGAATACCTCTGGGTAAGAATGTACCTTGAACCGTGATAAAGTTTAATTTATTCCTAAAAGAAATGCAATTATCACTGTTTTCTTCTGCTTTTTTAAACCTACCTCTTGATACTCCCCTAAAGGAGTCAGATACTGCAGGATCAGTCTTTGCTCTATGGCAGGGGTCAAAGGACAGAGGTTATAATTTGTGCCAATCACCCAAGGAGACATCTCAGACCAGCTGCTGTTAGATAGTTCAACAAACATCCTTTCTGATTCAGAAGAGAAGCCGAGTTTTTGTTTTGCTTTCCGGAAATTCTCCTTTTCGTGTTGCTTCCCTGATTTTTTGACAGCAGAATTTACCCGACTACTCGTCTTGTGATTTGAGTCAAGGTTAAATGAAATCTCCATGTCCCCTGTCACTTCCTCCTGCTCACCATCCACAGCCATCTCCCCATAATCCATGTCCACAGCTTCTTCATCTAGAGGCAGCAAGGGGTCGGATGGCACTTTTCGAGGACTGGGACGCTTATTTTCATGTTTTGTATTCATTTCAATGACTTGCAGCTCTCGTAAACGTTGAAGGACAAAGGCCACCTTTCATAAAGAGTTGAACATGCATCATTTTAACATAGTTCTACCATACTGAAATCAGTTTGCCCAAAGAAACTCAAACCCATTATGATTATGCCATTCACCTTTAAGAGTAGCAAAAAAATAAAAAAAAACTAGTGGTAATTTCAAGTGTTAAATTTTTTAAATACACTAGCTTTGCAAACTTAAGGTCCCTTGTTAATACACTAATACTGTGAAGGAGAACAGGAAACTGGAGTCGGGGAAAAAATCTCTTGCAAAACCAAACATACCGATATATGAATCCACTTGCAAAGAAGGACATTTCTAAAATTTGCTGTAGAACACTAATATGCAATATTACTGCAGGTTTTTTTTACAATCATTATGATAAGGCTTCAGGGGCCAAATAAAAAGCTTAGGGCTTTCTGTTCCAATCACACTGCCCAATACTTGTCTACAATATGTTATGGATATTTCCTGTTTACCAGTTGGGAATTCTCATCTCTATAGTTGGCGGCAATATCTTGATTCTCCATGGCACCTCCAAGCAATCCAGTTGCAAATGTCCTTAAAGGCTGATCAGCTTCTCGTGCCCACTTGAAGAGATTCTCAACAATGCCTTCCTAGAATAAAGGGGGGACAAGAGAGGAGTATTTAGGCAAGTTAAATTCTTCACAGCTTACATTCCAATATAACATCTACTCACGTATAAGCGCCATAATCACTTTTCAGATTGAAAAAGCAAATGAAGTTGTTGATATGATCAACATTTAAAGTAATGAATGCATATCCGGAATGATTTTTTAAGCTGTAGTTTCCTTTGAATTTTTTGGGAGTAAGACTTCTTACTAAAAAAAGGACAGGCATTTGTTAAACTGGACAGCAACATAATTTTTCATCAAAATTGCTGCTGTCAAGCATGAAGAAACGTCTGGCAATGCGTTGGAGTTTTAAAAGCATATACAGTTCTTCTGCATGTTGTCATATAATTCAGAAACTCAGTGCAAAAATAATTCTATTCTGGCTACCTACTGCAAACTGTACTGGGGACTGTGTGGTCATGGAAATTTACAGATCACACAGAAGAGACACTCAATGTAAAGCCAAAAATTCTTGGTCATGGTATCAACTGCAATGTGGATTGTCAGTATGGTAAACCACTATAATCCATTCATTCCTATCTGTTCGTCTCTTCATGAAAACAAACAAATAAAAAAGGAAAGCTTAGCGCATTGTGCCCAATTGCAGCCATTCTATAACTAATGAAAAGCAACTGAAACACTAATCCTAGCAACTCTTGGCATATCAATACCATTCAACAGAAAACTGTGCCTTGATGTCTGCAAATATCAACTCTTCAGAGAATATAAGAAATATAAAATGATGGTGGTACGGTGATTGGGATGCAGTGTTGCAGGCTAACTCACTGCTTACTCCAGGAGTTCGATTCTGAGCAGCTCAAAGTTGATTCAGCCTTCCATCCTTCCGTGGTGGGTAAAATAAGGACCCAGATTGTTGGGGGCAACAGGCTGACTCTGTAAACCGCTTAGAGAGTTCTGTAAAGCACTATGAAGCGGTATATGAGTCTATTGCTATTTTATATGCATGAATGTACATAAATATGAACACAACTAAGAAATATAGAACTATTTTATTATTTATTTATATGTCTTATTTATTAACAGCCTATTTCCCGGGGAGAAGAGCTCTGGGCGGTTTATATGTATATCTACCGTATGTAGGGAATGAGGGCAACTGTAGCTTACTATGGGGCATCCCAAGCAGATATCTACAGTGCAGGTTTTTTATTTTTATTTTTTACTGTTTTATGATGATGATGATGATGACGATAATAATAATAATAATAATAATAATAATAATAATAATAATAATAATAATAATAATAATAATAATAATAATAATAATAATAATAATAATAATAATAATAATAATAATAATAATAAAAAGTTGGAAGGGACCTTGGAGGTCATCGAGTCCAACCTGCTCAGGCAGGAAACCCTACACCATTTCAGACAAATGGCTGTCCAGTCTCTTCTTAAAAACTTCCAGTGTTGGAGCATTCACCGCTTCTGGAGGCAGGTTGTTCCATTGGTTAATTGTTCTAACTGTCAGGATTATTTTATAGATATTGGTTTTATTGTTGCTACGAGATGCCGAGAATTACTTAAGAAGGGTGGCCACGTAAATCTTTTAAATAAAGGAACAAAAGTTTAGCCTTCAAAATAAAAGTAACTATCCTCTGAGTCAGTTAACTGATCTAGTGTCCAACTGTGGCAGAAGCAAAGTTCTCAGCTATCAGGAATTCATTCTTCTTATCAGCCTCCCAAACCTGTCGGAGCAGAGTCTACTAAGGTCTGCACCCTGTTGCTTCTAGGTCTGCCTTCCTATCTCCCGTACCTTCTCCTGAAAGACCACAGCAGTTTCCAGCCCAGGCATAATGTCCAACAGGAGTCGGCAGGCAGCTGTGTTCAGTGGTGGTTCTCTGCTTGTCATGACATAAGCATTTACCAGCTAAAAGAAGAAGAAAAGTTTTTAGGTTATTTCTGAAAGAAAGAAAAAATTACATGTCAGATCTGTATGCCTTTCTACTTATGGGAAGAACGCCAGTCCAGCAGAGGCTGCATTTGAAGAAGGAAGAAAACTGAATTTGACTATTCGTTTCTCCTACAACGTTTTATTCATAGGATCACTGACTCTCTGGAGCAAATAGTTTCATGACAAGGTATGCTGTGAAAAAGTTAATTTGCAAAAATCAATCATATTTCATGAGCCAAGAACCACCCACAGGGGGAAAAAAGTTTTCAAATCTATATTATGCTTTATTACTATTAGCAATTTTTTTAAAGTGGAATTGTTTAGGTTTACAGCTCCTCCATTAGCACTGTAAAAGTCTTGATAGCCTTAAATTACATAGAAACAAGAAGATAAGATTACAATGCAATTCTAAGAGCATTTACTTAAAATTTAAGTATACTTTATTCAACTGTGTCACTTTTGCACAGGATTCTGCTGCATATATTACATATTTAAGTATAACAACCTATCCACGAATTTGAATTATTCAATACATTAGTCTTTATATGTTTGGGCAAAATATAAGGTTCAAAATTAGAGCTTATGTTCACTTCTCATTGTACATAAATTCTTTCAGTTTATGTGGAATCTATTTCAATTTGAATAACCACCTTTAATTTGTAATTTCCTGGAAAATAAAGGAGGAGGCAAAAGGCCCTTTGGTAGACAGAGAGACAGACAGACAAGACAGAGATAATAAGGAAAAGACTCCTTTATACTGCTTGCATCATGATTTGAATAAATCAGACTTAGGCAAATTTTATACTAAGTTTTGGAAATTACATTCTTCTTTTAAAAGAGAATGAATCTAAAACAAAATGAACCCCTTAGCACACCTTTAGCATCTTGGCAAAAAAAATTAACTAAGTAACAAGTTACTAGCTACCAGTTGCCAAGTAGAAATCTATACATAAATTCAAAGGGCAAACCCACTGCATTCATGAAATCATCATTCTTGAAAAGAATCCTCAGCAAGTGTCCAAGCATACATTTTGGGTCTGCTCGACCTGTAAACAGACAGACAACAGTATCAATTAATAGACCACACTCACTGGCAAAACTAAGTAGAAACAATGCAAAGAAAACAAAACAAACGTGCAAAACGTTAGCTAACTGAAGTTAAATATGATTAATTAAATATCTTGGCAATTCAAAAATTTCCACCCACAAATCAATAGCATTGGATTTAGGTAGAAAATGTGTATTGACAAAATTATGTAATTATAATTTAATTTTATAAACCTATTTGGCTAAAACAAGCCTTCTAATCTAAACCATTGGCCAATAAGTGTCAAGTAGTTTGTCTTAATGAAAAGTCCAGTATGTCCAGGAAAAAAAAGAGTGTTAAAATAGTTTTACGGTCAGCTTATTCTTTTCATGTTTCTTACTTTTTAAAGTTATACACTGTCCAAAACCTTATGGAATTGGGCAGCCTTCTAAATTAGATAGATATATAGAGAGACTCATGTCATACACCTATGGTTATTCAACATTTGTAACATACATAAGAACTTATAAGTTTTAAATAACATTTGACGTGTGGACAAGTTATTTTTTTGGTAGGTGAAAAAATTACAATACAGTTGCACAATCTGTACTGTACAATTATAATATAGTTGTACAATCACAGTCCATATCTTAAGTTATAGAAAGACACTTTAATTAGTTGAAAAATCACTTTCTATTTGTTTTATAAGAGCAGATTTTTCACTTTTTTTATTCCAGGCCTCTCATAAAGCACTTAAAGTCAGTTTCCACGTATTTTTAATTTGTTTAAAGATATTTCTCTAGAATATTTTAAGAAGCAAGGAGAATTACAGAAACTCCAAAAAGAAATTTAGTTGCACGCTGTTGTTAACATAATTGTTATTATGTTGATTTAGAGAAATCATCCACAAAGAGACCAGACTATTTGAGGGACTACCTTCCCCTGCGACTAATCTGTCTATCCTACCAGATGGGAGGCATGTTCGGGCTCCCTTTTCTGAAATGTTGCCATCTACCAGGACCTTGGAAGTGTGCCTTCTTCTTTTTTTCCCCAAAATTTTTTATTGGGGATAAAATAGGATTGGGATAGGGATTAAGGTTTAGGGGGGGTTAGGATCAGGACTGGGATGAAGTGTGCCTTCTTCATGTCTGTCCCTACCTTATGGAACGCCCTCCCCCAGATGATTTGGCTGCCGCCCCCCCCGCCCCCCTTTCAGCCTTCCAAAAGGTCATCAAGGCCTGGCTTTTTATCCAGCCACTTGGGTAGATTGATGGCATTTAGGACTGGTTGCTGGAGGATTCCCAGATGATTGAAGCACCACGGTTTATTTTATAGCTTTGCATTTTTTTATGGTCCTGTGGTTTTATTGTTGTTGTGAGCCATCTAGAGTCATGCTTTAAGATGGGCAACCATACAAATCTTTAAAATAAATAAATAATTTTTAGACTTCAAAATAAAAGCAGTTATAAACTGAATCAATTAACTGGTACATTTTCAACATTTATCTGGGAGAACCAAAGAGAAAGTTATTGAATAAGCCATCTACTATTTGCTTTCATTAAAATATATACAAGCAACATTTCTGAAAAGACAGCAGATATTGTGATGCTACGCCTCCATGGTTTTATTTTGTCCTTTTATTTAAAAAACACTGGGTAAATTCAAATATGTGCTGTTACAGGTAGTCCTTGACTTATAACCGTTCATTTACCAACCATCTGAAGTTATGACAGTGCTGAAAAAGTGACTTATAACTAATCCTCATACTTATGACTGTTGTAGCATCCCTGTGATCAGTGATTGCAATCAGGTGCTTAGCAACCACCTCACATTTACAACGGTTGCAGAGTCCCAGAGTCACGATTGCCATTTGTGACCTTCTCAAATAACTTCCAAAAAGCATAGTCAATGGGGAAGCTGACAGGAGGTCACGAATCACAATATATCTTACTTAATGAACACTGTTTCACTTAATGACTATAGCAAAAACAAAGCTTTTAAAATCAGGTGTGGTGATGTAATGCCTCTCTTAATGACTGCATGGCTTAATAATAAATTTTCCAGTCCTAATTGATGTTGTAAGTTGAGGATTATCTGTATGACTCATGGCTTGATGTCTTAATGTGATGCCCAAATAGTATCAATTAGTTTACATGGATTGTTTAAAGGCAGTAAGCCATAATTTTACATATTTTTTTCTCTTACTGTCTGCAACTGTGGTTGAGAATGTGTGAAATGTGCCTCAGGTTTATTTACGGTTTTCTTGCTTAGCCCATTTTTTTTTTTTAAAAAAAAATCCTCTACCAATCCTCTAATTAATTCAGAGAGAGAGAAAAGAGAAGCACCAAACAGAAACTATGATAATTTGCTCCTTTGTAGGATTCTGATTGGCTCAGAAAAAATATGGCTTAGATAAATGTTTTTTTCTCAGTTTACCGGGATGCCTATCATCAAATGGATCTGGATCTCGTTTGCGATACTCTTCTGTCTCCTTTTCAATCAATTCTGACATTCTAGAAATAGAAAAACACACCAGTAATTTGCATTTCCCTTTTTAAACAGTTGCTCTTTTAATATTTGAATTGTTAACATTAGAAAACCATGACTAACCAAGATTCTAGTTGGACTACATATGATCAAGACATTACAGGTAGTCCTTGTTGAAATGACCATTTGAAGTTATGATGGTGCTGAACAAGGAGGTCTTACTCCTTGTAGTTATGGCCATTGCAGCATTCCCATGGCCACATGATTTGAGCTCTTGGCAAATGGCTCACAATTATAGCCGCCCAGACTTTGCTTGATGGCATGCAAATTTCATTAATTACTTATTACAGTTGCAGTGCATCGCAGTGACACAATTGCTATTTGAGATTTTCACAGCCATCTTCTGACTAGCAGAGTCCATGGGGAAGTCAATAGGTCCTAAACGAAAATCATGTGACCGCAGAATGTTGCAACTATGCAGGATTCGCCTAACAATGGCAATTGGGACTGCCACAGCTGCTATTATAAGCCAAGATGGTCAAGTGGCATCCAACTTTATGATCACACCGTTCAGGGATGGAGTTGCCGGTCCCAATTACCATAGTTAAAGTGAGCATTATCTGTATTTAACAACATTTCCGCAAAAAGAGGGGACAAGCACTATCCTAATTAATTCATGTACCTAAAAACATGCCTGAAAGGTCCATGAACTACATAATTTCTCTACATTGTTAACCATTTAATGCCATCTTTGCTACTTATGGGACTGCTAAGATAGGAACTGTGAGGCTTTGAGGCAATTCCCAGGCCAAAGACAGCGATATGGTAAACAAACAATAAACATACAGCTTCACAACTTCCAAATACAACCCTAAATCTCCATTAAGTTGGAAAAGTGGAAGGAAGAAGCCACTCATTTAAACCCTAAGGCTGAAAGAGAATTTACATCTTCTCACTGCGGTGGGTAATCAACTCATAAGTATGGCTTCATTCCTGTCTACAATACAATTTGTCTTTCCAACAAGCTGAGTCCGAGTCTTCTGCTGTGTAATCAAAAAATGAATTAAGCTATGAACTGTCAAAAATCCGGTATTTACTACCAAATCTTGGACACGGGAGCTTGATAGCAAATACTACTAGGAGCAGGAAAAGAAAGGAGCAGGTACACTAGTCCATTGTTTTTCTGTTATTTTCTAATACTTTCACACTGCTCAAAGCTTGTGTTATTAGGCTATAATATGCAAATCACTTGATAAGGCTATTTCGAGACTTCCTGAGATCCTCAGAGCATGTATTTCCATGCTCAGAAGATACTTCTGCACAACCAGCCAATCTACCTGCCTTATCAAATGATGTGCACAAGCCTAGTAATCAGAATGTAAAAACTAAATTATATAAAAGTTTACCTGTGACTAAGCCCTACTGAGATATGCTCCTGAACGGTGCTATTTCCATAACATATTCCATATAATTACACTTGATTATACCTACCGGGTAAGAATAGGAACCATGTCTTGACCACTGCCGTGATCTTTCTCCCATTGCTCTAGCAAAGCAGTGAGCTCAGCCTTGGAATCTACAAGCTCAGAACATGAAGTCATGACTCACTCTAAACAAAAAGAGAGAAGCAATTAAGATGAGATGAAAACATCCTCAAATCTTATTGCATTCATTTTCACACAAAAAACATTAGATTTCAAAGGCCACATACGGTACTTTTTATAAAAACAACTGAAACTGGGGAAGCTAAGACATACATTTTAAAAATATCTTTGTATGCACTCATCACAAAGATCTTCAGCGTGTTATGTTTTCAAAACAGTATTCTCCTCTTCTATAAGACAATAATTCTATTTAATTTTATTTACATTAACTAAAATAAAAAGCAGCCAATATGATTACCCTCCAATCATATTTGTAATCAATTCTCCCATATTAAAAATGACAACTAATTACAACTTTCAGGAGTCTCCATGGGCCCTGATCTCTAATCCTAAAGTGTCAGATTATACAATTTTGGCTTATAAACTGCGCTGGCTTTGATTCCATCAGGCTCAAAAACAAAGAGCTAATTGCTCTTTTTAAAAGGGCTAATTGCTCTTTTTAATCTCTTCAGTCTAACCCCAACCCTCAATTCTCTCAGCACAAAAGATTTTAGAGATTTCATCCATTGGAAGGGTTCAGCCCACAGTAAGTTATCTGGACCAAGGAAAACATTTTTCCTCTGGAACACAAATATTTTGCCCAACATAGGAAACTGGACAAAGAGAAACTCATTAGAACACCTGCTAATTTGGACAGATAGGTGGGGATGACTCTACCTTTTAAAATGTTTTATTTTTAAAACAAATATTTCAACAAAAAGGCCCCAGGAACAAAGCTATCACCAGGATTCAAAAATTTTCTCAGCCCCATCAAATGAGAAAGTAGGACTAAGGTTTAATGGATTAAAATAAATCTATACTCCATATAGTTAATTATTCATATAACCATATAAAGGAAGTTGTAAATATATGAGTAATTAGTTTAACAAACCTGCCTCTGTTTTGATTGGCAAAGCTCAAAAAAAAATCAATACAGAGATTCATGTCAGACCTTTGTTTGGGATTGAATATCACATTTACTTGGATGAAAGCCAGTGTTAAGTATGATAAGGCAAAATGGGCAAGTTCTCATCACAAATGTAAGTATTATGTGGATTTTTGGAGTCCCCCCCTTTAAACGAAAGTATGTCGCTTTTATAGTGTACATTGCAGCTCTTTGTCTGTCAAAGTTTGGAAACCATATTCTGTAGTGTGGCTGGAAGGGTTATCCAGGGTCACAAAAACCCATCACTTTTGTAAACAGTTCTGATCACCTATGCCTGTCTGTTTCAAATGTTCATACATACTGATGTAAAATGCCAAAAATATGACTAAAATCTTTGAGAACGTTACTCACAAAACCTTAAGTAAGGGGAACAAATTGAGAACAGAAAGAATGAACACATAATTTGGGAACACTGGGGTCTGAGCCCTCCTAGTGGCGCAAAAGGGAAGGCATTTTTGCTCATGTAATAGGATCCCTCCTAGCAACCTACCATAAATCAGTGCTTAAACCTAAAATTCCATGTAAATCACCCATGAATTTCTCAACTTTCAACAAGGGAAACAATAAAAGGCCTAAAATGTCTAAGCATAACTAGTTACTTTTAAACTAACAAAGATTATTTCTTATAAAAAGTGTTAAGATGGAGAGATAGTGTGCAGAAATGTCTGTTTCCAAAACATTATTTAACAACAGGGGAAATTCTTACCTCCTCAATGGTCCAAGGTTTTTCTAGCAGAGCATGAATCAAATTATATTTTTATTACAGATTGGTAAGAGACTTTGGGAATCGGTCTATAACAAATAAGAAAGTAGCACACTGAATGGAAAGATTCCTATTCAAGAGTTACTTTGAGTAGGATTCAGTATGTATGTAATAATTATTACAAAGACTTTTGAACACTGGAGCTTTTAAAGCTTAACCCAGTGTACATTGCAATTAAATAATAAAACCTGCATCTTTTCATAACAGTCTCATCAAAGGACTAGAACAGCAATGGCGAACCTTTTAGAGACCGAGTGCCCAAACTGCAACCCAAAACCCACTTATGTATCGTCGGGTGCCGGGTGGGTGTGGCCCATTGGGTGGGCATGGCTGCGGTGGTAACAGCAGACCGGGTGGGACTAAAAAATTCAATCAATCAATTCCAACTTTGCGAGATCTTTCCCCCCCCCCGCAAGAAGTTGAAATTGATTGATTGCTTGACCCTTTTTTTTTTTGCACACAGCGGCGGAGACCTAAAGCGAAAAGGTTTTATAAAACCCAGCTGAAGGCCTAGGAGTGGGGCAATGGATCGTGTGCCCACAGAGAGGGCTCTGCATGCCACCTGTGGCATGCGTGCCATAGGTTCGCCACCACGGGCCTAGAACCATACAACTATAGGCCAGCTCTACAACAAAGCATGATGCTTACAATCCCACATAGCTGGCGAATCATCTAACTACTGAATATTTGGAAACTAACATAGCAATGATTACCTGATACTGTTTATTACAAGGCAATTCCTCTCCTATACAGGTAAATAGATAGATGAGGCAGAACACCACATTTGAACTCGGCTTGTTTTGTATGAAGCTCCAATTAAGAATCAGGTAGCAGTTTAAGGGGGTTTCTGTATCTAACACCACTACTAGCCACCTAAAAAATGGCTGTAGCTAGAGTGCTTTCCAGCATCTCCTGGCTAATCTACCTACAATACTACATTTCTTCTTGGAAAGTTCAAAATTAGGCTCATTCACTTGTGTTTTTATTTACATTTAGATGACATTACTGAAGTGGTGCTGCCTTAAGGGGTGTTGAGAATTTCAGCAGGTTTAGCATGCAACAGTCAGAGTGCTCTGAACATATCTTTTCCCAGAATTACATCTATGTATATCCCATTCTTCAGGGCATAGCCATTTCAACCACATTAATAGCTAATTTGCTTCAACCCCTAATTCAAAATACTGGCCTTCAAAATCTTGACCTACCTTAGATCAGATTGCCTCAAGCAGCACCTCTTTCTTTACAAGCCTATTTTGCTACCCCATCATCACACAGAGACCCTTCCCGTCCGAGTGAGTACAGATACCTGACAGGTATTTTGACTGAATAACGTAGGCTATTCTCCTTAAAGCAGTCTGCACACTAACCTCTTTTGACACATCGCCAAAGCTTTGGAAGAAAAAATTGATTTACACTGACTTACAAAATCTATAATTATTCACTGTGATATTTTTTTTTGTTTATCATATTTAAAAAAAAACATCCATCTCACTCATAGAGGGAGATATTGAGAGTGTGTATATTCATACTATTTTTCTTTGGATTTTATTACATCATTTTTGGAAAAAAAAAATATTAGCAGAGCCTAGCAAGAATACAGCTTTAGTATAAGAAAGAAACTATGCCAATAAGTGAGTAAATAATCTGGATCACTCAATTATAACCATATAGTTTTCAGGTCTCCAGATGTGGGAAGTGTTTTATATATAGTACATAGTCTTACTATGGTGTATTCATATATTTCCAGTTTTTCTTCACTTTTAGGCACCGATCAGATGTACATGCTAAGCTGGTAGTAAATATAAAGCAAAGTGAATGATGTCATAAAACATTTCATAGGACTATTCTTGTTAGATGGAGGAGAAAAGACTTTTGGTTCTCTTGTATGATCTTGACAAACCTCATATTCAAAAAGTTTCCATATAGATTCATAGCTGTGAATGTAATTGACACAACATATTGTAAACAGCAATCTGTATTTTAAAAAAAACTTTTCTCCTTTGCAACTTGCTCCCCACTTCATAAGCAAAGTCCAAAATTCTGTCTAGTCCAAAGATCCCCAAATTGTCAGTGGTCAACTCCTGGAAAATTGCCAGTAAACTTGAGAGGAGCACAAAAGCCAAGTCACAAGATCAGGTGATCAAAGTGGACCACAGTGAAGATCCGCACCCAAGGTCAGCAGCAGTACCAGGGCCTGAGAGTGGGGTCAGGAGCTCTATGGACACAAATACACTGGGGGGAAATGATCCATGGAGGAAAGCAAAGGACACAGAGGGTCAAGGTTAGGAGGGGGCAAACAGACAGGCATGCTGAGAGCTGAGCCTAAAGCCAACAGCAACACTGGAGCTGAGGAATGTCTATAGGCTGGATGTAAGAGGGCAGAGCAGGAAGACCTGGACCGCAAAAGACAAGAGCTTCCACTTCCCTCTGGTCTCCGACGATCCATTCAGATAGGTTGCCCTGTTCCAGTGAAACAGCAGAAGAAACGTGACACAGGTAGTCCTCGACTTACAACAGTTCATTTACTGACCATTCGAAGTTACAGCAACACTGAAAAAGGTGACTTATGAACGTTTTTCACACTTATGAACGTTGCAGCATCCTCACCGTCAGGTGATCAAGATTCAGACGCTTGGCAACTGACTCATATTATGAAGGGGTCATGTGATCCCCTTCTGTAACTTTCTGACAAGCAAAGTCAATGGGGAAGCCCGATCCGTTTAACAACCAGGTTACTAACTTAACAACTGCAGCGACTCACTTCACAACTGGGGCAAGAAAGGTTGTAAAATGAGGCAAAACTCACTCATCTATATCGCTTAGCAACAGAATTTTTGGACTCAGTTGTAATTCTAAGTTGAGGACTACCTGTCCTCAAATGGAAAGGAAGCCTAATATAGTTGCTGGTTTTTCCAGCCAAAGTGAGACTGGTGATCCCCCTTCGAATTTTGCAACTTCTAGACCAGGGGTAGGCAACCTTGGCTCTTTTATGACGCGTGGACTTCAACTCCCAGAATTCCTGAGCCAGCTATGCTGACTCAGGAATTCTGGGAGTTGAAGTCCACGCGTCATAAAAGAGTCAAGGTTGTCTACCCCTGCTCTAGACAAAGCTGGATCATAATCAAAATATGGTCTGACAGCAGAAGTCTTGTTTTATCGATATGACAGCCAATTCTATTCCAGGAGTTTCCAAGCTAGTTTCCATCAGAAACTAGGTTTCTCTCTCCAATCTGGCATTCTCAACATGAT